AACAACATCTATTCCATACCTGAAGATGTCTGTAGGAACAGACGAAAGTTTGTAGTAAAAATAAGAACTAATACGGGCAGAAATTTATAGAAACAAGAATCTTTTCATTCATAACGGATTGTTTTGCGACGAGGCTTTTAAATTATTTGAATTGTTTACGATGGACGATGGATTTCTCGGACATTTAAATTTCATTTTTGCATTTGAATTTTTTTCATGAATATATGAATATATATATATATATATATATATATATATATATATATATATATATATATATATAGAGAGAGAGAGAGAGAGAGAGAGAGAGAGGCTCAAGGAGAGCGGCATTTATGAATATACGGACTTTTGAAATACTATTTCAAATTAGAAGTATCTACTTAGACATTAGACATATCAAATTAAAGCAGATATGATACCCTTTAAAATACTGTATGTTTTGAAAGGAATGGATTTAGTGCTATAATACAATTACTTTTAATAATAATATTTTTTCAAAAAGCAGACCTTTTGAAATTGTTAAATATTTTTGACGATGATATTGCCATTATTACTTCAACTCAAACGTATTTGACGGAGTTGATTAATGAGGAATCCTGTCGAAATATGAAGACTAATCTGAATACAGATCACTGGTGTATAGTGCGCCACAAGGTAGCAAAAGTGGAATCGTTAGACACGACGTTTACATAAACTATTTTGTTTATATTTTTTTAGCCATATGACTGCTGTATTACAGTGCAACCTCAGTTCTCAAACGTCTTACATGTCAAACAAATCGGTTTTCGAACAGAATATTTGAGATGAAAATGCCTCGGTTAGCAAACAAAATTTCGGTTCTCGAACAATATTGTCGATCCGAACCGAACCGAGTTAAGCCGAAAGGAATCATTTCTTAGTAGACCTTGGTGTTGTATACATTCATGTGTTGTGCTGTGCTTTTTCTTTTCCAATTTTACTGTATTTTTTGTCTCGTCATTAGTTCTTAGTCATAGCTCCAAAGAAAGGTAACAGTGATACTAATAAAGGAAAAAGTAAAGTTAAGAGAAAAACAATTGTTAATGATATCGTCTCTATGATGATGATGATATTGCCTCTTCTTACTCAGTTTCATATGGCAAAATCAACGATCTATACTATTCTTATAAATAAAGAGACGACCCTATCTTTCCTTTCCCTTTTCCATACAATAACATCTCTTTCCTTCCCCTTCCACTTACACCATCGAATCTCCTACTTACAGGTACGGTAAAATTGAAGTTTCTTTCGTCTATATATTATCTCTTTAGTATTGGGTTTATTCATTTTTTTCTTAGACTTAATGATTTTCTTTAGCTTTGTGTATAAACTTGTGCACAAAGTACTGTTGTTAAAGTTTAAATAAGCAATCATCTTGGGACCAGGAACGGATTAATCTATTTTACATCGATTCTTATTGAAAAAATAGTTTCGGTTTACGAACATTTCGGGTTACGAACGGGCTTCAAGGACGAATTAACTTCGTGAACCGAGGTTCCACTGCACGTGACATTCACCTCAAGATATGCGCGCTATTTTTTTTAGTGATCATTGCAATTTAGTAAGTGTAGCTTAGATGAGGCCAGGGCTGAAAGTATGGAGCACCCAGTGAGAATCGAACTCACCTCTCACTTAATATAGAGAAGCGAGCTTGCTGAGCATTAAACCACGTCGAAGTGTCTGTTTAATGGCCATGGTTGTATAATCTTTTGAATCTTGCCAATTTTTCTCGTAACGTAAAAACATCAAAATTATATGCAAACACACTTGGGTGTTTCAACCACAAGTAAGAATGCAAATATATATATTACTATAAATTATTTTTGTATATAAATCCTTCAGTGTTTTCCTCCTTCCCACACAGCAATTAAAAAAGTGTTCTTGCATTTACAAGACTACAACTATACAATAACACACACAGTTTCTCGTGATTTCTCGTACTACTCGAGATGCAGACAGACACGAAATTTTGTGCGCATTTTTCCAAATATAGCATCTCTCATAACCGCTTAACAATGAAATCCATTGTGAAAAGCGTTAACATTTTTCCTGTCTTTATTTTCAAGCGATCGATTAAGACACATCTCTCCTTTGAGTCTCAGAGAAACGAATAATAATTTATGAACAAAAAGAGATTATTTTTCTTCTCGACCGCTGACGTTATCATAATTCTATAAATTAAATTATTTATTCATTATGATGCATTGAAAAACACATTGTATAAAATAAAGATTGATTATTCTCTTTTCGCATATGTATATTTAATGTCTTCGAAAGAATAAAACTTCAAATATCACATATTTTAAAATAACCACTGCGACTATCTTTATTAATTAATATGAAAGGAATGTAACTTAGAAACCGATCCGCATGTTATTTATCGTCTTTTATAATGTAATATATCAATGAATTAATGCTTCCTTTGAAGGAAATGTCGACTGAGCGTACGAAGATGCTAGAAGAACAATATGTAAGAAATTACTGACCGACTAATATATTTCCTATCGAAGTCGGAGGCCTTACGCTTCCGGCCATATCACGTTGGAACACAGGTCCTCGTATTATCAACAATGTTACGCAACATCGAGACTGGTCAGTACCTAGTTGGGTGATCACTTGAGAATACCAGCTGCTGTAATCATGGATGTACGGTGGTGTGATAACGACTCGGAAATGAAAACCGGAGAGCTGAGTTCCAATTTTTGTCGGGTTCGTTAAATTCACTAAGGTGCAAATACACTTGAAAAATCTATGGATTTACTTATTCTCTCCCCAAGTATAGGTTAATTAGTAAGACTTGAACACATTATTAGGTTGGGGCAAAAATAATGACGTAATAATGTGTTTTTGACGTTAAAAAATACGTTAAAAAACGACATTGTTACGTCATTATTTTTGCACCAACCTAATACATATTACTTATTGCAAAGGCATAAAACAGCATAGATACAAAACATTGAGGGAACTAAATTACTTCATTAATGCCATACGTACACGTCATAGTGCAGAAAGCAGCCAGGAGTAAGGAGTTTTCGACGATCTCGTGTTCTTTTCATCTGGTATATCCCCCATCATGTTTGGCTTCCACTTGCCTTGATAGTTTTCTTGCATCTTATTAATATCTTGGTGGAACCTTTCTCCAGGCTCATCTTTCACTGGTCTGAGGTTTAGAGAGAAGAAGTTAAATGCGCGAGTGTAGAAAATGTATTTTGAATGACCTTCGTTCTGTGTATTAGCAAGGATGCCATGGCAGACTGTCTTAAATTTTTATCATGATCTCAATTTAAGCTCTGAAGTAGCAAAACCTGTTTTCCATGGTGAAGAATGGGGTGAAGTCCTTGTTTTGTGTTCAGAAACTGGTGTTTCTTACATTTGTTGTAACCAGGTTTTACTGCTTAAGCGAGGATGCCAGTAGCCCAGACTCCTGCTTGGATTGGTAGAAATCGCGGTCAAGGTCATTCAAGTCTTCCTGTGTGATCCATTGGTGCTAATTTCTACCAGCTTCTGAATAAATTGGGACATGGCCTTCAGAAGCATGTATTTTCCTCTGAAGGCAATTTTCCTATTTTGATTTTGGGGGAAAGAAGCATTAAAATCAGTTGTTTTTGTTAGACAAAAACAACAGTCATTTTCATGTCTTTGCTGCTCTCTCCTGACCACCGGAAGAGCAAAGTTGAAGGCTGATTTCTTGTCATGAAACTATGCAGTTAGTCCATTATAATAAGATTTACAACAAATGTGTGGGGTCAAGGATGTGTCCTGACCCTCTTCACTGAGCAGGTTCTTATCTGGTGAGGAGAGTGTTTAAACATGTACCAAGATTAAAAACAAGAACTGTCTAGCGGTGGATGAACCGTTTTATGGTATCAAAGTCCAACTCTAACAGGCATTGGATTCTAGAAATATCCGGTTAGTGTCCAGGTGCTGAAATATATATATATATATATATATATATATATATATATATATATAGGAAAGAAAATGGTATGTTCATCATTAATTAATCATAGCTAATGATCGGAAGCTCATGAGGATTGAAAGAAAGTTCAAATATCTATGCATTCCAAGATCATTTCCCAATTTATTCAAGATGATCTTCACCCGCTTTAACTTTCTAAACTTCTGTCTTACCTCACAGGTTTCATGTGCGATTTTATTTTCAAGTCTTTTTTTCACTGTTCTTTGGACTTTCATAGCTGAAACTCATCTCGCGCGTGCGAAACGTCTTATGGGTTGAGTTGGATCTTTTCTAATTGATCTCTTTAGCTCTAAGTTGAAATGATGATCCCTCTTCCTGTTGTGATCTCCTGATCTAGTTTCTCTCTCTACTATTTTAAAAAAATGGCTTAGACACAAGCGTCTATCTTTTTAGATTTGGATTTTTTAATGTAACTATAACAACAAAAACATTTCGATTTCATTTTTGCCTTGAAAAACTCGGAAGACGAAACTCGTCGGCAAAATCTAAGACTTCTTTTTTTTTCCAATTGTCATTTTATACCATATATATATATATATATATATATATATATATATATATATATATAGAGAGAGAGAGAGAGAGAGAGAGAGAGGAGGGAGATAGGGAGAGAGAGAGAAATGTTAGATTTCAGGTTTATGTGTTAAAGCATTATGAGCTGATAATGGAATTTTGATTTATTAGTCCCATGAAATCTCTTAAATCAATGTGCTGGGTACATTATGCCAAATCTAGAATAAGAAGATGTAATGGCTAACAAGCTTATCTCACTTGATTTTATTATGATTAAGTGTTGAGTTCGATCCTTACTGGATATTCCCTATTTTCGGTCTTGTGTTACATCCGAATAATTTTAGGGGAAGTTAATAATGGTTTATTGATACAAGTCTTATCTCTAGCTCTAGAGAGATGTGAATTCATAGCTTAATCAAGGGTATTTGGAACTCGGCTCTTAGATTAACAGTTCGGACCCATTATCTATTACACCACACTCACATCCAAGATTACAACACTTAGTATTCCAAAGCCGTCACCCATCTTGGTACTGCCCAGGCTCGACGTTGTTTAACTTCGGTAATCGTACAGCAACTGGTCTTTTAACGTGATGTAACCGTCAAACCTTTCAACCACCCGCACATTCAAGCTTACTGCACCTGGCATTTTCAAGCGGTCACCGATCTAAATACAGACCAGACTCTACGTTGCTTAACTTCAGTGATCGTATGGGTACTGGTGCTTCAACGTGATATGGGCGTAAGCCTGCCACATCTATATTATGCATAGTAAATAAAAGGCACCTCGACGTGGTATAATTGTTTCCAATCTTGTCGCGATAGAGAATTGCTTCTGAGTGGTGAGTCCATTTTTTACTCCATGCTCCTCAATCTCGGCCTTGTGTCATATCTAAACTACGTTTCGTAAAGTGCTCTGGAAGCAAGGAGGTCATTTAGCAGTGGCCATCTCTTTTCCAAAAAAACATACACAATCTTAGTAAAATTCATAAGATTCATTAAATTTCATTCAATATTTTGTACTTTTCTCAACATATGGAACGTTATACGCAAGGGCGGAGCACCTAATTTTCTCCAGAACGTTAATCCAATGAAAACATTCGTAGTAAAACCCGTCGTAACGGGATCTGTTCTCTGCGCCAATCAATTTTATACCAGATCTCACCTTCTTTATTTGTGTTACCCAATCCTTTGCAGCACGTGGACTTCACTTTCTGCATTGATTATACAGAGTGGGGGAGAGCAACTTGCTTATTTGGAATATAAATTAAAACACAAGTAATGCAGGTACACATGTAATTCTTTGAACTGCAACTAGTTCAACATTTAAATTTTATTTTTAGCAGTTTTAAAGATGATATCAGCAAGATGGCGTCCATTCTTCTCTATACACTGAGTCAATGTTTTGGGGGTGACCTTGCTGTTCGTGGAGGCCAGGTTTCTTTTCTTTATATCACCCGTTTCCCTGAAGTTGTTTACCCATAAAAAACAATCGACTGCCGGCCAGGAACACGACCACGGGGGGTGAGGGTGGGGGCAATATTGAAATGTCTACGGAATGCACGTTGCGTTGCGACGATTGAACGACCGCTTGAAAAAAATGCCCCAACAGCGAAAGCGCGTTCCAACTTCATCCACTCCATGATGCTCAACGGAGTTCCTGAAAATAAACATAAAAATAAATAACGCACATTAAGAACCAAACTTTAAGCCCCACCCTCTAAAATAAGTCCATCCCTACCATCCTTGAGCAACCATCGCTTTAGGGCGCCAAATTTAAATAAACAAGTTGCCCCTGCCCACCCTATATATATATATATATATATATATATATATATATATATATATATATATATATATATATATATATATATATATTGGCTCTATACCCGCAAAGAGCATAAAGGGACAAAAAGACATATATTATATTATGATAAGACATCGTTGCGGTTTCTGTAAAAAAGCCAATTTTTAAGTGAATAGGTTGTTAACGTACTTCACAACCACCAACCTGGAGGATCAGATTTTGAATTCAGAGTTGTCCATCTTTAGGGAGAATATGTGATTTCATATCTTTGCCAAGGGTATTTGAAGGTCTGCTCTCAGATTAATAGTCCAGAACCATTATCTATTACACTACACTCATATCACACTCAAGCTTTCAACACTTAATATTCCGAAGCGGTCACAGATCTTGATACTGTCCGGGATCCTAGGCTATCCTCAAAAACGTAGTCTGTCCTGCTATTTACCAATAACTGGGGAGGGAAGAAGTGGATTCATACCTTTCAGAAAGGTTTTAGCACGTAAGTGAATGTAATGGATTCGACTGGAATTCGAACTCGGCTCTCCGATTCCTCAATCCAAGCCGCTATCCATTACTCTACTGTATCTCCTCTTTGATTAATGACTGTGATTTTTTTTTGGTATATTTTTCATCTCTTGATGCATAAATAATTGAAATCTGTTATACTTTTCATATTTTATTAATATTGTAAATCTAATTATACCCCCATCCTGTAAACTATGTAGTATGGAAAATACATTAAAATATTTAGTTTTCATTAATACTACATGTTTGGGCTGGAATTAACGCAACATTATCTTTAAGTTTTATTTATACTTGGCAGATAGTTTTGTCCTCACCAGGTGTTGTATATGCTTGTGAGACATATTCATCTTTTTCATTTATTTCTTATGAATGGAAAAGTTTAGATCGACAAGATTTAGACATTAACAGGAAACCATGAAGGGTGCGAAAGTAATTTTAATAAAAGACATGACTTTCTCTGGCAGTTGAGAATGTCATATTGAATCGGCCTTATCACGAACCAAGACTACATGATTTGATGCACGCAGGTGGCCCGCCAGCCGTCTCTTGGACACCAGCACTTATCTAGATATTCAGAAGACAAGATTCTCAGGTCTTTAATTGAAGTTGTCAAAAATGTTCGGACGAATATTTCGCAATAAATGTTTCAAGGAAAGAAA